GCAAGAGAAGAAAGCTATGGCCAATAAAGAGATGAAGGACAAGATCGATAATCTCGATGTCCAATTTCGCAGTATGAGCGAGGCTATCGAAACGTTGGGTGAAGGACTCAGCAATACCAAATCCACGGTGCATGATTTAATGGAAACCATGAACCGGCGATTTGATGAGATGGCGCGCACGGTACTCGATCGCCTGCCACCACCGCAGCATCGCGACCAGCAGCGCGATCAGGCGCGGCGGCACGAGCGCGAGCGGCCTGAGGGAGAGGATCGGCGTCGCGAGGAGCGGGAGCGCGAGGACGACCTCGATCGGCAGTCCCAGGCGTCCACGTACCACGAGGGCCCGAGGATCGACAGGCCACGCATCACGCTGTCCACGTTCACGGGCAGCGATCCGGACGCATGGCTCCACAGGGCAGTACAATATTTCGAGCTTAATGAAACAGATGGTCCCGATCGCGTGAGGTACGCAGCTTATTATCTCGATGGTGAGGCCAACGTATGGTGGCAGTGGCTCACTAGGATCTACCGCAAGCTCCAGCAAATTATTACTTGGGATGTTTTTGAACGAGAGTTGCTTACGCTATTTGGTACGTCCGACTATCATAATTACAATGAGGCTCTTACGCGCATACGGCAAACAAGCAGCCTACGCGAGTACATTAGGGAGTTCGAGCGATTGGCATGCCGCGTGCGCGACTGGCCGGAAGAGGCACTAGTTGGCGCGTTTATCGGCGGATTTAAATTCGACTTGGCTGCTGAGGTACGGCTCGAGAGGCCCGACACCATGCATGACGCAATGGAAGTGGCCCAACGTCGGGAGGACCACCTGGTTGCGACTCGAAGGGGACGGGCGGACGCCCGGATTTCCGACGCACGTCGCACGGGCCCAAGCCAAGTGCCCGCGGTCGTTCGGCCTGCGGTCAATACACGGCCAGCAGGGGCATTGGTCCGACACCTATCGCCAGAGGAGGTCAAACGGCAACGAGAAAAGGGTCTCTGTTTTAAGTGCGAAGAGAAGTTTACCCCGGGGCATCAGTGCAAGCAAGCCTTTGTCATAGAAGTGGCCAACCCGGACGACAAGGAGGTTGAGGTCGAGGAGGAACCGCCTCAAGACGACGAGACTGAGGACTTCAGGGATGAGCCTGGAATCTCGATGCACGCTATGGCTGGGATACGAGGTCCACGGACTATGCGCTTACCAGCTTGGGTCAAGGATCGAAAGGTGATGGTGCTCGTAGACAACGGGTCATCTCACAACTTCATCAACGCCGAGTTGTCTCAAAAATTGAATTTGCCAACTATGAATATTGAACCCTTTCAGGTAAGGGTAGCCAACGGGGAGAGGCTGCAATGCACTAAGTCCTTCCGGAAGGTACCAATCAGGTTTAGCGGAGTTACGGTAAAGGCTGATCTATATGCCTTACCCCTGGTTGGACCAGATGTAGTGCTGGGCATCCAATGGCTCAAAGGACTGGGCAAGATAACGACCGACTATCGAACAGGAATTATGGAGTTCAACTCCGAAGGACGTCAGGTCACCCTCAGCACCAGCACGGACAAGGAAGCCAAGGAAGTAGGGTTGAAGAGCATCGAGAAAGTTTGGCGCGGTAGAGGCCAAATCTTTGCCGTAGTAGTCGAAGATGTGGGAGCACACTCGGGCAAGGACGCGCAACAACAGGGAGATGTGCGTGAGCTTCTCGAAGAGTTTGAAGGAGTCCTGGGCGAGCCCAAAGGACTACCACCGCACCGGGAGTTCGACCATCACATACCATTGATCAATGAACAGCATGCCATACATGTCCACCCCTATAGGTACGCTCACTTTCAGAAAACCGAGATCGAGCGGCAAGTGGCTGAGATGCTTGAATCAGGTCT